ATTTATTAAGTTATGCAGGCTTGTTTGCACAACAAGGCTACATAATTATATAAACTTTTTTCAATCTAAATAGTGGACTTTGGTAGAATTAAAAAAATAAGTGTAGTGCAGGTCTATGATGATTTTTAGTGCTACTATCATCTAGTTCTGATTCTGGTTCTGTCTTGGTTAAGTCCTCAGTAGTCCTGATTTTGAACTGTTGTAGTCCTGTTTTAATTCCGGATCGGTTCTGGGTCTGGTTGAATTGGGGTTTAGTACTCGTGTCTTGATACAGCCCTGACTTTGTTCTGCCTTGCTGCTTAATTAAAAAAGTAGTTTAAGGTGTCCTGCATATGTGATATATATTTTTCCCTATATGAAGTCATTGTTTTTTGAACAAAACTCAAAACAGAGCCTATTAATCTTTCAGTCATTTGTAGCCAGGTGGACGATAGATGATAACAAATAAGACTGGTTTTTGAGTTTTACAGCTGGGGTGGACAAGGTTAAGCATCAGGCTTTCAAATGAATTAAAAGTCTGTCTTGGTCTTTGGTTGATTAATAGGCTGGTGTGAAAAATTGCTGCCACACCACCCCCTCGGCCTGTGCTTCAAGGTTTCTGATAGTTAGACTAACTCGGGGGTGTTGATTCATTTAAACTAAAATAATCATCTTGCAGCAACCAGTTTCTGTAAGGCAGAGTAAATCGATTTGTTGGTCAATTATTAAGTCATGTACTAACAGAGACTTGGAGGAGAGAGACCTAGATGTGGATACTGTATTGTTCTTTCTTTGTGATTTTTTTGTCTTTTAAGTCTTTCTTTTTTGCTGGTTTTTAGTTTGTTTGTTTTTTGTCTGTTTGGGAGCTGACACAGTCTCTAAGGGGATGGGGTTTTGGGGGATAACAGGAGGAGAGAAGCTACAGAGAGACGTGTAAGACTGCAACTCCGCTTCCTGGTCCCAACTCTGGATAGTCATTTGGGGGGTTTAATACATTTGGCCAGATTTCTAGAAATGAGAGCTGCTCCATCCAAAGTGGGATGGATGCCATCTCTCCTAACAAGACCAGGTTTCCTCCAGAAAGTTTCCCAATTATATATAAAGCCCACATCATTTTTGGACACCACTCAGACAGCCAACAATTTAAGGAGAACGTGCGGCTAAACATGTCACTCCTGGCCCGATTGGGGTAGTGCTTATAACTGCAGCTATTCTTTAATGTCAGATATTTGTCATTTTCCTTGAGAAAAGTTTTGTCTAAATAGCTGCAGAGGCAATTCTGTCGCACCCAGGATGTCAACACTTTTATTGCGGGTTATCGCTTGGGATAGCGTCAGTTAGTAAGTTATGCTTGGACATGTCTTAAACTAGGCCGAATTTTATTTTTATTTTTTTTTACAGTGCGCTGAAAGGAAAACCTGTCAGGTGTCATCCCTCCAGGGGATGATATTTTGTGTTGAGAATTTTATTATCAGCCCTCTTTTAAGCAAGCCTGCAAGGCTGAAACTAAAAGCGCTATAAAATATCTTACTGAGAGCAAATGTAATGTGAGCTTCTCCAGATTACAATGGGCTTCGGGGAAATTCACCTATCTGGGCCACAGATAACATAGAATGGTGAGTCCCTTTGTCTAAAAGGATTGCAGCGGGTCAATCCATTCCAAAGTCATAAAGATTTGTGTTTTTTGTTTTTTGATATGACGTCATATTGGTCTCAGTGGATACTTAAATATGCTGCGTGAGAGGCTCCACTATCAGCAATGATACACGTGAGGGGACTGTGAAGGGCTGATGACATGTATGAGCTCAAATTGTGGTCATAAATATTTTGTACTTGTAAATCAGAATGCGTAGTTGTGAACAGAGTTTTGTAAACTTGTAAACCAAACTATCTGAAAATGTTATGTTTGTGCATCTATAGATAGGTGCATCTATACACAAACTTGGAACATGCCCTGTCCAGATGGCAAACATCCATGGGTAGATGGATCTAATGATAAAGAGGAGAAACATGTCTCACACTGAATTGCTTCAGATTCTCATGAGTGAACAACTTGATGTAAGGTAACTTGAAGCTTTGTTTTAGCAGATGAACAACTAATGCTGTTTCATATTTTTTTGTGAAGTTTTTTTTTTGTATTATTACTGTTATCTTTTGCATATGAAGGTTAGACTATGAAGATGATTGGAAATGACCAAAGGGTGGAGATTCAGACTCAGAGGAGAGGATAGTGAGGGCGAGGATAAAAATTAAAGAGTGAAATTGTTTTTTTTCCTTCTGACTGTAGTGAGAATGCACATTGTGAAAATTCCTTGAGCGTGTAATGATGTAGGGGAGCTGGAAAATAAATTCCCATATTTTTATGTTATTTTTGGGTAATCACAAAGGGTGGAACTGTAGTGGAAAATTTCTTTATTCTATGCATTGATCACATATTATAACACTATCACTTTAGCAATAATAATAGTAATATCACTTTGTCACTTGGGATAGCGTCACATCTATGTCTTACGTTTCCATACACAACAGTGGGGCCATTGTGAGCAGACCAGAGACATCCAGGTGCCGTATGTGCAGGGGTGTTGGACTGATAGGTAGTGGGGTCCTGGTGTTTGTCTCTGGGAGGTAGGGAGGTGACGGCATGGCCGTAATTCTTTGAAGAGAAGGTTTTAAGGATGAGCTAAACTGAAGGTATAGACTCACGTTATGTGTTGTGGAATGTTTTTGTCTGTGTGTTAATATAAGAGATCAGGGCGTTTCATCAGAATGTTTCTTTCCATATTGCAGTATGTAATTAAACCTACTTCAAAAAGACGCTCACCAGGTGTTTGCAGTTTATTTAAAAATTCCACAACAATAGCGATGACCCTTTTGCTGGCAACACTCCCATCACCATGACCTGCCCTGTCAAGGGTCTGGTTCAACAACTTCCATTTTCCATGTCTTAGTCATGTCTTTGTGTTTGACTCTATCTGTTTCCATGTTCCCCTGCTTGTGTTTTTTGTCACTGCAGTCTGATGTGCGTTCCCGTGCGTCTCTTCCTGTGTCAAGTTCCTATGTCTTAGTCATGGTCTCATTGTTTTACTTCGTGTTTTATTTTGACAGTCTCATCCTGTGTTCGGTGTGTTCAGTTTTGCTTCCCCTGTCTTGTCATGTCTAATTCATTCCTGCTGTGTTCCCCATGTGTTTCCACTTACTCTCCTCATGCATATACATTTGCTATGTCCAAATTCAGTGGTAGCATGCTTTGATGGCCGCATTTGTAGCAATTACGTCGCAGCGACGCAACAAAGCTGTCCAAATTCGAAGTTTCCTCCAAATGCAGCAACAAATGCGTTGCTGCATTTAGTTTTCCCCAGATTTGAAGGACGGGTCAGGCACATCTTTTGTGGCCCAACATATCCCAGGATTTAGTGCGGGCCATACAGGAGAATTTTATTCTAATAACAATCGTGGTTTATGCAGGAGAGAAAAACACTTTTAAATTAAAGTATATGAAAATCTGGTGGTACAAAAGTTACATTTTTATAGCGGTTGTGTTGTTAGGCTTTGGGCATTTGTATAGACATGTTTTTTGTTTATTAAAAAAATCTTCGTAAAAATTGCCTGTTAATGAGCTTGTATGGTGGGTCCCGTTTTGTCATGTATTGCTGCTTACATACAGCTAATTTAGATGTTTTCGAATTAACCTTTTTGTGATATGCTTTAGGGAACAAAGGCCAAATGGCTCAATTTACTAAAACGAGAGGAGAAACATAGTTGTCATGTTTTTCTCTCATCTCTTATTTTTCGTGTGTGATAAGGACAATACTGGAGAAGATGGGCCTGCAGGGGAAAGTCACCCCTTTGCAGGCCAGAAAGAAATGGGATTACTTTTATAAAAAGTATGTACGTGTGTTATCAAGAAGATAATTCTTAAGAACACAAGTTATTAAATGTGCAAATTCTAAGAGTTGTTGCGTTGTTTATATTCACCTCATTTGTTCCAAAATGAGAAATGCATTAAGAAATTTATGTATTTGAATATATTTATGTTATAATATGTATTGCATTAGTTTAAAAGTTTTATGGTGGGGTGGGGTGGTCACTCAGGCACAGCTGGCTGCCGGCGGAGCTCACGGGCGCGTCACTGCAACTCCCCCTGGCTTCTGCTCCGCGGCTGCTGAGTGAGCCCTCATCTGGGACTCTCCTCAGCTCTTACTGGGACAGTGGCGCGGCTGCCCCTCTGTTAGTCTTCCTTGGTCTCTTGTGTTCTGGGGGCCTCTGGATGTTTGGAGTTTTGATCTCCTCCATACCTGCTTCATACCCTGGAGGACGGGGCTGTGGCTCCCCACACTCCCTAGCAGATCGTTACATGAAGAAACCTTTGGAATGCAAGCATGCTGATCCACACAGGTATGCACACAGGTGTACACATGGGTATTCACAGACGCAGACTACAGCTTTCTTGGCTGCTGCCTCAAAGCACATTGTGCGCTGTCTATCTTGCGTGCTGCACATATCGTTTATTATTTAGTATCTACTGATATCTACTGCTAGCTAGTTTATTGTGATGGTGCTGTTTTTTTTATTATGTTGCTCTTTGTTGTTTGCTTTCTCTTCTGTTTTTTTTCTCCATACAGGTGACCCAGGTGTTTTATTTTTTTTTTGTTGTTTGTTTTTTTTTCTTTCTTCCCCCCCTTCTCACCGTCTCTTCTCCCCTTTGGTTTTCTTTCTCTCCCTCTCTTTCTTTCATTCTTTCTCTCTGTCCTATCCCCCAGTCATGTCTGTCCCGTTTGTAGCAACTGAAAATAAAATAAATTTATAATTATAATAAAGGTCAATCAAATGGACCAATATGGCAAGGCCATGATGATCCACTTGGTAAAATAAATCCGCTTGGCATCTTTCTTGGCCTTAAGACAACAATTCTGATGGCTAAAGATCCAAACGGGACACAAAAAAAATAAAAAGTAAAAGTTTTATGGTATGAATAAATTGATTAAAACAAACAGTAATTGTCACTGAACAAAAATATTTACAAGTATTTTTAACATGTATGAACATAACGCTAACTTTGAACAATTTTAAATGGATGTTTATTTAATGAGAATAAAGAAACAATAACAATGAAACAAGAATATTTATAATACATCAACAAAAATCAGGCTTGGGATCCTCCTGATTTAAAAAAAAAAACGGTCCAGGACTTGGACACTCAGGTCAATCCTGCAGTACAATGGTCTGGTTTGGTTAAAGAAAAGGTGGAGAACAACAAACAGTTTTAGTAGAAAGGTATGATTTAATTTATTTTATGACATCAAAGCATTATTCTGATTATTAAGCTTAAGTAAACTATACTAATACACTGTGAAAAGACTTAATTTTTATACACTTCATCTGTGTAACTAAGCTTTTTTGTTAACTCAAAAATAACCCTGTTTTCAGCTTTGTGATATTTTTACATCTATGCAAAAATATCATCTATGCACACGGAGAATGAAACACATGTATATGCAGACGGACTGACAACGAACACAGGAGAACACATTAAATATACAAAGAGGGAAATGGGGAAACTGCACACAGGAGGGAGACAAACCTAATTAACGTGACGAGACGGAGCACGCAAACAGAACACACTGATATCAGACACGGACCTTCAAAGTAAAACAGGAAATACACTGACTGAACTCAGAGACACTGACAGAGTACGGAAGGCACACACGGGTAGGGATAACTGGACACTAAATGGAAGGAGCACAGAGTAACATGAGGAGCACAGGGACCAAAACCTAAGAACAAGAAATACAAAACAAAAACACTAGTAAACATGAACCAAGAAGAAACCCCAGACTATATAGAAGGACCATGACAAAAGGTCTAAGTTTTTCTAGCTCCTCGAGAATTAAAAATGTACAAAATAACGGAGTGACATTTTTAGGTCCATTCTAAAGTTCTTGCGCTGTGGTGCTAGTGACTGTAAAAAATGCAGAAGTAAGGGCGGACTTGAACAAAGGCTAGAAGACTGTCCAAATTCACAGCTGCTCACTTCCGGGCCTTCCCAGCCTTCGAAGGACCCGACCCACATAGGGCGGGTCCTTCGAAGCATGCTACCCCTGAATTTGGACACAGCCATTGTGTCAGTTTCCCGCTTTTCCCTTGTCGATGTGTCTCCATGTCTCAAGTGTTCAGGGATTTCCAGGCATTCCAAGTTTAATATATTTACTTTTTAGTTTTGTTATCGGATATAATAAATCCATGCTTTTTTTTCTTTTTTTTATCTAGTTTTGCCTCTTGTCTCGTCAGTTCGTGACACACCCATGTTTTGGACTGCATTTGAGGGCCTCATCAACATGACAGGTTTGGGTCCAGAGAGCATTATTTAAACACCAATGCTGATCATGTTCATGCCTGTATAACTACAGTCTACTAATCATCTGATGGATGCTTTCAGAAAGATAATGTGTTTTCATAATGGGGGTTTCCAGTGGTTAAATCCAGTGGTACTTCCTTGTGCTCTCTGCTTTTGATTAGATTTCAGGCATTTGCTGTATTATATATCACATTATGGCACAGTACAGGAAGACAGTAAGCATTGGTTTTCAACTCATCATCAGTGTAGCTCTGAAAGAAGCATCTTTATTCATTTAAAAAATAAAATGAATAGACATTGCATTTTAACCGTTAGGTGTTTGGCCAAATTTAGGCACTGATAAGGGATTTATAAAACTGATTGAATGGCATATTCATTATATTATATTATATGAATATTCATATAATATAATATAATAACTGAATCATCTGAGTTTATTGTTAATTTCAAGTCCTCTGTGAATCCACTTGGGATTACAGTAATAATGTGATTTATGTGAACAATAGTAGCAGTTGTGATAATTGCATTAAATATTATTGCTCTCTGTGTATCATAATGAATTGTCACAGATATCATAGTGTGATGGAAATTTTCCGTTCTTCTCAATGAAAGTGTTTAAGTGCTTGTGCATTTGCTTAGTTGTGACACTGCAATGGAAACGTCCACTGAACAGTCTAAAATTAGATGAACTTACTTCAGCCTCAAAAGTAGAACAAAACAACAACTCCTTTTGCAGGTGTTGATAACACCAAGGGCACAAAACAGCATTACCATTGTTCAGTTAGGTTTCATGTCGGCCAAGTGATGTGTGGTATCAGTTTGTGACTTCCTCCCTTTTCTTGGTAATGCATAAAGGAGAGCTCCACTTCTGTTTCAGACGTTGCATGAGGGGCACCTCGCTGTGTGTACTCTCTCTCATGTGCATGATAGAGTGTTGACTGCAGCTGACCGGGTCTGCGGACTTTGTTAAAGGTTCCACTTTTCCAGTAAACGAGTGCAGTGGTGGCTGACATTTTAATATGATATATTATTGCACACTATGTATTACAGATATGTAATTTCTTCTTACAGAGAAGCTACATTTTATCATGTCACTAATGATGCATTTCTTTAACTACCAGAAAAATGAGCACAGGTGTGGTTTATGATCAATATGAATCAACATTTTACCAGAGGAGTCACTCACATGTTCACTGATTGTGAAACGTGACAGCAGAGATGGTACATTGCGTGCAAATAACTTGCTTTCCCTGTGAATCAATGCAAGTAAGCAGTGTTACAACTATAA